CCGCCGTGGGCGCCGCGCCCGCAGCGGCGGGCGGCTGGAACACGACGCCAGACGCGGCCAGGGCGTGCGCCGCTGCGGACAGCAGCGCGGTCAGGTCGAGCTGGGTCGCGGTGGCTCCGCTTGTGCCGCCGCTGCCAGGCGGCATCTGTGCGGTGCGCGATGAGGTGGAGTCGACCCCTGGCGCAATGGCGTCCGTGCTGGCGGGGATGGGGACGCCGGCCGCCCTGGCCGCGAGCACGAGCGGCCACGGGACGCCCGCGCCGAACGACGACGGGGCCTGCTGCTGGTGCTGCTGCGCCGCCGCGGGCTCCTGGCCGGCGCCGGCGGCGCTGTCCGCGAGCAGCGCCCTGCCCTCGTCCCTGGCGGTGGTGCCCGGCGCGCCGAGCGGCGGCGCTGCGCGCTGCGCGGCGCCGGTGCCGGCGCGGCCGGGGTGGGCCGGCACGCCGACGTAGCTGTATCCCGCAGCGCTGCCGTGGAAGTGCGCAGACAGCAGCAGCGCAGACAGCGCGATCATGGGCGCAGACTGCAGCAGCGCCACGCCCGCATAGCGCGCCTGCGGTCGGGGGAGGGCCAGAAGCAGGATGCGGCTCGGACACACCCGCAAACCCCGGCCAACTCCATGCCTCACGTGTGGGAACAGAACAACAAACTCGCGCGCCGTCGTGCCTAGTGCCCCCAAGCTTGATGCCCAAGGAGTGCTGCCGCACACCCTGCCAACGCCCTGATCCCCCTTTTCCCAGCCATAAACCCCAAAAACAATCGACAAAACCCTTGAACCCTAAAAACCCGCCTGGCGGTAGGACTCTAGGAAGACCAGGTCTGGCCGCAGCACATGGCGCCGCAGCGCCGGCACAGAGGCCAGCAGCATGGTCAGGTCCAGGATCGGCACTGACAGCAGCGCCGTCACCTGCCACACCATACGAGGGGGCTTATGAAGGTAGAGCGGCGGCCGTGTCGCCCAGAGCGGCGCGGAGCACCCCGGCGGCCCTAGCTGCATGACATGACACAGGCCGAGCGGCACGCATCCTGGCGGACCGACGTGCTCCCAAAGGCCCCCGTTCCCCAGTCTCGGCCCCCTCTCCCGCCCCCCAGCCGGAGCACCAGCCGCCCCACCGAGTAGCAGGTTCCCAGGTAGACCGCCACGATGAGGCCCACCGCCGCCAGCAGGCTGAGGCCGACCCAGGCGACGGCGCCCTGCAGCGGCCGGCACCGCGCCAGGCAGCGCAGCCGCAGGCCCGCGCTGCTGCGCATGAGCAGCACGCCCACCACGTAGCGCAGCGCGACCGCCAGCCAGTGGTTGCGCGCCAGCACCAGCGCCGCGGCCGTGCACAGCGGCGCGAGCAGCGCCAGCAGCGCCAGCAGGCCGAGCCACGCGGTGGGCTCTGGGCGGCGGGCAGGGGTGGAGAGGGAGAGGGCAGCAGTGCGCATGTGAGTGTGTGTTGTGGGAGTGAACAGGGTGTGTGTGTGTGGGTGTGTGTGTGCGTAAAAGGTGTTGGACATGCGTGTTTTGAGCGTGTGTGTGCGAAGGGGTAGTGAAGGGTCAGGAGAAAGACGCAGCATGTCTGCACGGACCTGCCACAGCGGTTGTTGGCGCGCCGCGGCCTCCTGCGCGCCCCCCCAACCCTGCGGCACCCGGCAGCCACGCAGGCCGTTCCGCGACGCGCCCCACCATAGCTGAGGAGGACCACCGCCAGCGCTATGTCCAGCCCTGTAGCAACAGCCCAGGTCGTCATGCACAGAAAGTCCTCGGCATCCCGCCACGCCTCGCCGCGGGACGTCTGCGCGCTGCACGCGGGGGGGCCGTTGCTGTCGTTGCTGTCGCTGCTGCCGTTGCTGTCGCTGCCGCCGGCGCCGGCGCCGCGGCTGGTGCCCGTGTCCGCCGATGACAGGCTTTCGGCACGAGAGGCTGCCTGGATGGCATCGCGAGCCGGCTGGGTCACAGCCGCGTCGCCGGGTGGGGGTGCCTCGACATCAAACGCTTGGCGAACCGAACCAAGGTCCAGGGGTGCAGCGGGCGCTGCAGGTCGCCCGCACGGAGTGGCAGCTCCAGTGGAGCCCCCAGCGGCCGGCATGCGGCTTTGCTGCTCCGTCCACTATGCCTCGAGCCCGCCCCCCGAGCTGGGGCCTCGTGTGGGGGCCTCTCCCTACGAGTGAGTTGATGGGTCACCCGGGCACGCGAGGCCCGCGAACGTATAGAAAAGCGCGGCCACCAACACTGTTTCTACGTGCAAAGTCGTCAGCACGTGAGGCGGGGTGCTTCAAGCTGAAGCGACCACTTTCGAACCTGGGGATCACAAGGGGAAGTCCAGCCCCTTGTCGGCTCAAAAGAAAGCTTCCACTAGTAAATTGTTTGCTGCGTATGGCAAGTGGGAGGGGGCTGACGAGTAGCAGCAGGCACGATGAAGACGGCTGTGCATGACCGCCGACTGTTTGAAAAAGACCAGGATGCAGTCCTCATGACTGGGGTGCGTGCTCCCCAGTGTAGCAGTACTGCTACTGCGGAATGACCCCTATATACAGGCCGTGAAAAGTGCTTGTTCCCTTCAAACCTGACCCTTGGTTTCATGATGCCACAGATCGAGTCGGTAGCACGTTCAACAACCACGCAGGTCACAGACTCGTCCCACGACACTCCACCCACCAGCATGGGTGCTATCGTTGCAGTTTGATTGAGAGTCTAGTTACAAGATTGCTTTGCAGCATGGTGGTGGGATAGCGCACGCAAGAAAAGCGTCTTCTTGAGATTGCGCTCATGGGAGCGGCCCGCATGACAAAAGTTTCTGCCTCGTGGAGGCTCAGTGGGTTGAGGCGCCAACGCCGTCGCGATCGAACGCACAGCCTTGAACGACAAGGGGGCGCCGGGTGACAGGGGCGTACATAGGAATCAACAACGCACATGCAGCAGAGGCAACATTGAAGGAGGTGCGAGGTGTGGGCAGCCGCGCTCGGGCCCACTACGACTTGTGCGTGCGCGGGTATGTTGCAGGCCAAAAACAAAGCGCACGCACAGCAGGTTCAATTGGAGTCCGCCGGCGCTTTGCAGCAGAGTGCTATCGCGCGACAACTGCCACCCTCAGTTTCTGCTAGCTACGTCCGCAATGTGCGGCACGCCGCCGGTGGCGGCCGGCGGTGATGAGGAAACACAGCTGATGCTAGGAGAGATGCTCCCGGGACCAGTGGGCAGCAAGTCACATGCGGGCCTTCTTGCGCAGCGCCTCCAGCTCAGCATCAATCTCCAGCGCCTCTGGGGCGCGGCGCTGCAGCACGTCGTTCATGAGGGGCCGCTGCGCGACCGCGGTGTCGCCGCGGCGCGACTCGGCCGCGGGCGTCAGCAGGCCGCGCTTGAGGGCGGAGAGCTCGTCCTCCACGCCGCCGCTGCCCTCCAGCGCCGCAAACTTGGACTCCAGGCTGTCTGGGGTCGCCAGGATGCCCACAGACTCGGCCTGGTCATTAGACAAGGAGCGGCGCGAGAGTTTGGGACGGCGAGGGGGCGGCTGCCACGAGGCGGGGCTGGCAGGCAGGGATGAGGCGCCGATGAATTAGAGGGTGCCGGCGCACAAGCGAAGGGGCTCGGGGGATCGTGCAGGGTCACCACCCGTAAATCAGCACCCAGCAAACAGCAGCAACAGACCAGTTGACCCTCTTGACTGGTGCCCCACCTCTGCCTCCATGGCCACGACGCGCTCCTCCATCTTGTCAAAAGCGGCAAACGCGGTGGTGCTGTTGAGCCGCAGGCCAGCCACCATCTGTTGAGCAGTGAGAATTTCCAAGGGGGAATGATGGTTGATGTATGGGGGGGCCATCCGCCGCAAACCCGTGAGATCAGGAGGCAATCCAGCAACAGGACAGTTCAGCGCAAGAGAGGCGCCGGCAAATGCGCTACAGGCGCAAGCATATGCAGCTTTGTGGGACAGCTGTGCCACTCCAAAAATGATCACGTAATTATTAGATTGTGAACGCATGCATGACTGCTCGGCCCAGGAATGCCCAGCCCAAAAACGGGGACACACCCCTCCCATTGCCAAGAGCCAAAGGCCGAGCCCCGCCAGTGGCCCCTCACCTCCTGCACGGCCTTGCTGCTCTTGGCGGCCGCCGCGCGCGACTTGAGCGTCTCGCGCTTGTTGCGCGCCTCCGTGACCTTGCCCTCCAGCATGCGCACGTTGGCCGTGAGCTGCTCCAGCGCGCGGCGCTGCGCGTCCAGCTGCCCCTTGAGCGCCGTGGCCGCCGAGTCGGCCGACTTGCGGCGCGCCAGGGCCTCCCGGGCGAGATCGTCCTGCCCCTTGCGCACTGCCAGCTCAGCGCGGCGCAGCCAGTCGTCGGCGGTGGCCTGGGGGTGGTGGGATTGCGCGCAAGGAAATGGAGGATCGTTCAAGTCGGCGTATGTTCACGACGCGGTGGCGAGGACCGGTTTGCGTGTCCCTGTTTACAACGCTGTGAAGCGCCTCGACAGGGCAGGGGCCTCAGCAGACCATTTTGGTAGGAAGTGACCCTCGTCCTCTTCATCATGACCCAGGCGTATCCCCTTGCGCCCCCACCTGCGCCTGGCTGTACTTGGCCGTCATCTGGCGCTCGCTGGCCATGACCTTGGCTGTGGCCTGGCGCATGCGCACGAGGTCCTCGTTCATCTCGTCAATGACGCGGTCCAGCATCACCTGGCGGCGGCGGTCACGTCCAGGGCGTTTGGTTTCAGATACGGGAGGGATTGGGGCTGGAGCCGCCGTGCGGGTAAGGTGAGGAAATGGGTTGCAAGGAAAGCAGCACAAGCACCACTCCTGAGGGGGGCCATGGAACCCAGGCCGGGTCACTGTGCAATGCTCTGAAGCATCCACGGCGACGATGGATGCAGGCGAAGGGCCATAGTGGTAAGCAGGGGCGGGGATGTCTGCGGCTGCACCTCGGGGTCCTCGAAGCTCGAGGTGAAGTTGTCAAGGTTGGCCTTGATGATGCGCACCAGGCGCGAAAACAGGTTGGCCTGGAGGTGTAGGGGGGCGAAGGTGGAGCGGGGTGTGTGAGGCAATTGTGACAAGGAAGGCCAGCCAGGCCGGCATGATGGATGAGGCAGCAGCACCTGCACCACAAAGCGGAAGGCAGCAACCGCACAGCCACGGCCCAGGGCGAGATTGCACAAACTCAGCACGCATGCATGCATGCATGCAAGCACGCATGAGGATGCAAAAGCTGCTGCGTGGGATCGAGCCACCCGCTTCACACCTGCACAACCACGGCGCCCGAGCGAGCGGCGCGCGTGCAAGCCATTGCAGGACGCGGGGCGGCAGCGCGCAGAGCGCGCGTCGCCGGGGCCATTGGCCGCTGGACGGCCGGGGCGCGGCGAGACGTCTGGTAGCCCGCAACCCGCACACGGTTTCCGGTTGCAAGAGCCATTTCTGATGGACTGTGTGCGCGGAGCTGGTGCGCTCGAAGATGAGGGATGCTGAGTAGGCCGCGGTCGTGTCTGGATGACGAGAAAAGCGAGCGTTGTGAGATGGCTCAAGTGGGCTGATCAAATGAATACCAGGTAGCAATCAACGCGCCTATGATCGGGGCCCGACGTAGCTTCCTCGCCCTGCTTCTGACCGGGACTGAGCTCGAGATCGAGAAGCCTCCCGGGCCAGAGCCTGAGTATCTAGGAACCAGCAGCTGCACAAATGCCCCAGTTGACACGAAAATGGGTGTGAGAGACGAGTAAGACCTGCATGGATGCACAAGCGGCCAGAATTGACGCCAGCCTTTCATCACAATGTCAGCTAGCGCCAGAGCGCCGCATGGTGGTGCGCATGCAAAGCCTGAAGCGGCCCAAGCAGCTGCATGATGAGCGCTTGAGGCAGCCCGGGTGCTTCAACGGCCCTATCAACAGCCACTACCATGATAAGGCTGTCAAGTGACGGCGGTTGACAGCGGTTGACAGCGCAGTTGGGAGCGCCATGCTGGAGAGATTAGCAACCGCCAACAGCTCATTACTCGGGGGGCAGCAACGCCCCAGCATTGCTGGCTCTGAGCGCCAATGCACGCTGCAAAGGTTCCGTTCGGGAAGAGAGAGATATTCGGGTGCACCACCGCGCCAGGGCACTAGTCTGTCCGCAGCATCGCCGATGGCTCGCGATCGGCTGGATCACCCCCTCCTCCGCGGCGCGGCACGGATGATGTCATCCACCCTCAAGATCATTTCGGCTGCCTCCACGGCGCTCAGGACGACCTTCGATTCGGGTTGGCAGTGCGGGTGGTGTCAGGAGTGCGGCGGCTGCTGGGTACACGGCCAGCGCACGATGCTCGTCCTTAGACGGGCTGCGGCGTCCACATGAGGGCACTGGATGCCTGCGCCTGCACGCCCCTCCCGGCCCCCCCCGCGGCACCGCCCGTCACCCCACCTGGTTCTTCACGCGGAAGCTCTCGTAGATGCCCAGCTCCCCCATGTCACCAGAGGCCCCGCGGATCACGTCCACGCCCGCGCGCGTCTTCTCGGGCGCCCGGCCGTGCTCCTGCGGGGCAGCGGTGGGCGTGGCGGTGAGGGCGGTGTCGCGAGCGGCCGGGCGGTTGTGGGGCCGGCTGGGAGGAATGCCGCTTGCTGGCATGGCTTGACGGGCATGTCGCGCGAGAGGAGTTGATTGGCGCAGACACTCTGGTGTTGCAAGGGAGCACGCCCCCTCTCGTCTCCAAAGCACACGTCTCGCATGCTTATAGGGGAATGGCGCGTCCCAAGGGCCCGCACCGCGCGCAGCGTCGCGACGATGTCGGCGCTGTCGAGGCCGGCGTTGTCGCAGATTGTGGTGGGCAGCGCGCGCAGCGCCCGCGCAAACGCCTCCATCGCGAGGCTGCGCTTGCCTGGGGGGGGGGTGGCGACCAGGCGGGGGGGTTGGTGGCCAGGAGGCGGGCGGTGACGCAGGTGGCGGCCAAGGCGCGATGGGTACTACCCGGGGTAGCAAGGGCTGGCTGGGCCGTGGAATCAGTGCACGGCAGCCCATGATCCTGGCCCTGGCAGAGCCTGGCGGCACGAGCCTGGTCTGCAGCAGTCAGCGGCACCTCTGACGTCATACCCCACCCCATCAGTGCGCCCGCGCGTGTCGCCACCCGGCGTGGGTGTGCTCCCTGCTGGCCCCCACAGCTGCCCACCCGGCGTCGTCTTCGCCGCCTCCTCCACAGCCAGCGCCATCCTCATCTCGGGCCAGCCCCCGCCATACACCACGCGGCTGTCCTTGACCGTCTCGCTCAGCACGCACAGCGCGTCATGGAGGGACCTGCGGGGGTGGGGGGGTGGAGGTACGACGCGGGCAGCTGGGAGGGGGAGTGCGCACGGAGGCCACAGCTATGAGGCACTTGAGAGCGCAGGGGCTTGACCACAGACAGTAACAGACAGCCAGCAGCTCTTCAAGCTGTGCCGCTGCTGGTCAAAAAAAAACGTGCGGCTCTGGACTGCTGGTACCAATCAGCTGCAATTGCAGACAGCCCCGCCACCAACTGGCTGCAGCCAGAGCCTGCGTCCGCCCCCTTAAACGCTGTCCCTCACCCTGGGGCCCCCAGTCGCCCCCGTGGGCCCGCACCTGTCGGCCTCCTCCAGGATGTGAGTGCTGGCCCCCCGCAGCACGATGGTGCAGGCCTCCCCCAGGGCCACCCCCGAGAAGTGGATGAGCTTGTCCTCCCCGATCATCACCTCCTCAATCAAACGGCATGTGCCCAGCTTCACCTGATGGTGTTTGTGAGAGTGTGTGCATGTGTTGTGTGTTGTGTGTGTGGATGTGCGCGCATGTGTTGTGCGTGTTGTGTGCGTGTACATGTGTGTGTGTGTGAGAGAGAGAGAGAGAGAGAGAGAGAGAGAGAGAGAGAGAGAGAGAGAGAG